ATTTGTTAAAAGAATATACATATACATATACACATTTTAACGTTTTATTTTGTAACGTGTTCTTTAAGTATATTCTTATCGGGGTTGGGGGGAAAGTTCTACTGAAGAATATATATACCGTAAGTCACTTCAAGAGACCTGCTGTACTGTAGGTACGAAATGAGTGATAGAAGAATATAGATAGACAGATAAATAACGTGTTCTGCTACCAGAAACACAACGTTGACCTGCTACCGAGGCCTTGAATGCTGACACGATGCAGCCATAACTTCTCGAAAAACAAGTCGATTAATCAATATTTCAGTCTCCACCTGACCTTGAACAGTAACTGTGCTGCGGTGAAACGTTTCCAGTCTATAAATACACATATACACAGAAACTTGTCCAGTTCTCTACCATAGGTTGTAATGTTTATCAGTATTTTTTAGCAATGTAACTGTCCGTCTGATATAAACGTATATATACTATTTTTGTTTCCGTTAGCGAGATAGAGAGATAACCGTCTATATATATCTTCTGTTCTTACCATTTTTACCTGATACTGTATTTATCAGGCATTATTTTAATCTATATACATATCAGCTAGCAAGATGACTGACAAACAACTTTCTCATATTCTCTATCTCTGTATGTTAAATATTGATCTTTTTATCTGTTTGGATGAGTATCTACTTATGTAAATTTACAATCTGTATCTCTTGTTATCTCATTAATCCATCGTTATTACATATTTTTATTTTGTCTGTTGGTGTATCAGCTCCCACAATAAAACTGGTGTTTCCAATCAAATAGTTTGAACATTTTATCTGTTGGTGTATCAGCTCCCACAACAAAACTGGTGTTTCCAATCAAATAGTTTGAACATTTTGTCTGTTGGTGTATCAGCTTCAACCACAAAACTGGTGTTTCCAATCAAGTAGTTTGAACATTTTATCTGTTTGTGTATCAGCTCCCACAACAAAACTGGTGTTTCCAATCAAGTAGTTTGAACATTTTGTCTGTTTGTGTATCAGCTCCCACAACAAAACTGGTGTTTCCAATCAAGTAGTTTGAACATTTTGTCTGTTTGTGTATCAGCTACAACCACAAAACTACTGTTTCCAATCAAATAGTTTGAACATTTTATCTGTTTGTGTATCAGCTACAACCACAAAACTGGTGTTTCCAATCAAGTAGTTTGAACATTTTGTCTATTGGTGTATCAGCTACAACCACAAAACTACTGTTTCCAATCAAGTAGTTTGAACATTTTATCTGTTTGTGTATCAGCTACAACCACAAAACTGGTGTTTCCAATCAAGTAGTTTGAACATTTTGTCTGTTTGTGTATCAGCTACAACCACAAAACTGGTGTTTCCATTAAGTAGTTTGAACATTTTATCTGTTGGTGTATCAGCTACAACCACAAAACTGGTGTTTCCAATCAAGTAGTTTGAACATTTTGTCTGTTGGTGTATCAGCTCCCACAAAAAAACTGGTGTTTCCATTATGTAGTTTGAACATTTTATCTGTTTGTGTATCAGCTACAACCACAAAACTACTGTTTCCAATCAAGTAGTTTGAACATTTTATCTGTTTGTGTATCAGCTCCCACAACAAAACTGCTGTTTCCGTTAAGTAGTTTGAACATTTTGTCTGTTGGTGTATCAGCTACAACCACAAAACTACTGTTTCCAATCAAGTAGTTTGAACATTTTGTCTGTTTGTGTATCAGCTGCAACCACAAAACTGCTGTTTCCAATCAAATAGTTTGAACATTTTATCTGTTGGTGTATCAGCTACAACCACAAAACTGGTGTTTCCAATCAAATAGTTTGAACATTTTATCTGTTGGTGTATCAGCTTCGACCACAAAACTGGTGTTTCTATTAAGTAGCTTGAACACTAAAAACACTATGTAAAAAATAGATCATTTAGTTAACGGTTAAAACTAGGTGAGGAACATATAATTTATTTAACGATCAAAACACACTAAGTAAACACAAGATCACTGAAGACACTCGACAATGGTTTCTCTTTAATGTTCAGGCGATTACAGTACTCACCTGGTAAATATCTCGAATGTTACATAGATTATTTTGATTATCGGAAATAACTAGAATGTGTTTATATATTAAAATATCATATTAAATCATCCTTAATACGTTCACACGCAGAGAAAAAATTCAAAACCAAAACAGAACAAAGTCTTAGAAATCTTGATATTGGATAAGATAATTCCGCTATGTTCGTGTACCCTTCAGTTGTTTTTTTGGGTCAGAGGTAAACCTACGGGGTTCGATTCCCCTTGGTGGGCACAGCAAATGTTTTTATGTTCTCTAACTGCTACACAAGATATTATATTATTTTATGATGTACAAACTTCGATATATTTGTCTTACAATCAAGTTTAAAAATCGGCTTTCTGTATACTAACAAGTTATACACTACAGACAATTACACAGAAATGCTGCTGTTTCTTTTATGGACTATTTAAAACAACTATAAAAAAATTCAACCTCATTTTTCTCTCAAAAGTTTATAATACTGTTATTTTATAGTTGTAACTTTTATACTTTGTTTGTAATACTCTTATTTTAAAGTTGTAACTTTTATACTTTGTTTATAATACTCTTATTTTAAAGTTGTAACTTTTATACTTTGTTTATAATATTTTTATTTTAAACTTGTAACAGAAGTGGAAACGACAAAATGATACATTACCATCTGACCAGAAACGCCCTCTACCACAAAAACCTGAAACTTCTGAAGGTTTAACGAGACAGGAATACAATGATGCTTCTTGGGAGATTTTTCAGTCCAACTTGGTTCCATGTCGAGATTGTGGTCGCAAGTTCCTCCCAGACCGTCTTCCAGTCCACCAGCGAGTTTGCAAGGACAGAAGCAGCAAGACAAGTGAAGAGACAGAAGAGACTAGTCTGGTATGATGTTTATTTGTGAAAAAAATAATTTATTTCTTATGGTTTATGCCAGACTTCAGTCACTGACAGGATAACAGCAGTAGTTATTATGCCTAGTGGTATACGTCAGATTTCAGTCACTGACATGATAACATAATGGTGTATGTCAGACTTTAGTCACTGACAGGATAACAACAGTAGTTATTATGTCTAGTGGTATACGTCAGACTTCAGTCACTGACAGGATAACATAATGGTGTATGTCAGACTTTAGTCACTGACAGGATAACAACAGTAGTTATTATGTCTAGTGGTATACGTCAGACTTTAGTCACTGACAGGATAACAACAGTAGTTATTATGTCTAGTGGTATACGTCAGACTTCAGTCACTGACAGGATAACATAATGGTGTATGTCAGACTTCAGTCACTGACAGGATAACATAATGGTGCATGTCAAACTTCAGTCACTGACAGGATAACAACAGTAGTTATTATGTCTAGTGGTATATGTCAGACTTCAGTCACTGACAGCATAACATAATGGTGTATGCCAGACTTCAGTCACTGACAGGATAACAGTAGTTATTATGTCTAGTGGTATACGTCAGACTTCAGTCACTGACAGGATAACAGCAGTAGTTATTATGTCTAGTGGTATACGTCAGACTTCAGTCACTGACAGGAAAACATAATGGTTTATGCCAGACTTCAGTCACTGACAGGATAACATAATGGTGTATGTCAGACTTCAGTCACTGACAGGATAACAGCAGTAGTTATTATGTCTAGTGGTATACGCCAGACTTCAGCCACTGACAGGATAACATAATGGTGTATGTCAGACTTCAGTCACTGACAGGATAACATAATGGTGTATGTCAGACTTCAGTCACTGACAGGATAACAACAGTAGTTATTATGTCTAGTGGTATATGTCAGACTTCAGTCACTGACAGGACAACATAATGGTGTATGTCAGACTTCAGTCACTGACAAGATAACAACAGTAGTTATTATGTCTAGTGGTATACGTCAGACTTCAGTCACTGACAGGATAACATAATGGTTTATGCCAGACTTCAGTCATTGATAGGATAACAACAGTAGTTATTGTGTCTAGTGGTGTTCGTCAGACTTCAGTCACTGACAGGCTAACATAATATTGTATGTCAGGCTTCAATTGTGCAAGGACAGAAGCAGTAAGACAGGTGAAGCGTCAGAAGAGACTGATCTGGTATGATGTGTATGTCAGGCTTCAATTGTGCAAGGACAGAAGCAGTAAGACAGGTGAAGCGTCAGAAGAGACTAATCTGGTGAAAATCTGATGTTTATTTGTGAAAAAAATAATTTATTTCGTTTTTACTTAATAAAATATATTTTCTCGTGTTTCATGTAAAAAATAAACGATTTTCAGATATTTATATTTTGACTTGGAAGCATACTGATGTTTGTTTTTGATTTACGTTGATTGTACTGCCAGCAAGTACAATATTTTGTTTGCCTTCAACCAACGGAGTTTAGTTAATATTTCAAAGCCAGTTTAGATCACTATTATTTGTGTGGTGTCATAAACAGATTTTGTGTGATAAAATATTAATATCATTACTCAAGCCTTCTCTGAAAAAGCCGTTACCCAGAAAACGTCCGTTTGTGACCTGCTACATATGTGGCCGAGAGTTCGGGACTAAGTCCATCTCCCTCCATGAACCACAGTGTCTCCAGAAGTGGAAAATAGAAAATAACTTACTTTCACCAGAACTGAGAAGATCAGAACCCGTAAAACCTGAAACAGTCTTTAAAGGCAAGATATGTGTTGAATAACATCAGTTTTTGTAAAATAAATGTTAGTTAAGCCTGAATTAACTTTTCTGCACAAAAGCAATGTTTCTTGAGAGTCAATATTAGAAAGCTGATTTTTGTAGTTTAACTTTTCAGTACATCAGTTTTAAGTTACTTTTTTTATATGACCAAGTCTTTAATGTTTACTAACTCTTTATTGTGAGTATTGTTTACAGTTACAGGTGTTTTGTTTTTTTCAAACTTAGAGAAGTGTCTTTACGTTATTTTAAACGGTTCGGTTTCAAAATATGTAAACGAGATAACCAAGTTCATTTAGTGTTAAATATGTTGTGTTTTTATTAGTGAGTTAACTATTTCAGAGAATGGGATAATTGACCTAGATGCCATGGCAGATGCCGCATGGAAGAGCCACTTAAAACAACTGGTGCCATGTGATCGCTGTGGTCGAACATTCTTTCCTGATCGGATGGTGGTGCATCAACAAAATTGCAAGTTTTCATCACCATGAAGTCACAAGACAAGCTTATTTATCTTAGATTTTAATAGCTCTTGTCTCTAGTTGCAAAGTTTGGTAACTTCCTAGGGCTGGATAACATTTGGTGCACAAAGTTAAGTTCTAATAATGTAGAAAATCGCTATAACTTCATTAATTATGTCTTAAAAAAAACTTGAAATTTATAAAGTGTAACTCAATATGCTTCAGTCACTGACAAGATAACAGTAGTTATTGTGTTTAGTGGTGTTCGTCCAACTTCAATCACTGACAGTATAACAGTAGTCATTGTGTCTAGTGGTGTTCGTCAGACTTCAGTTACTGACAGGATAACATAATGGTGTTTTTCAGACTTCAGTTACTGACAGGATAACATAATGGTGTTTTTCAGACTTCAGTCACTGACAAGATAACAGTAGTTATTGTGTCTAGTGGTTTATGCCAGACTTCAGTCACTGAAAGGATAACAGCAGTTATTGTGTCTAGTGGTGTACGCCAGACTTCAGTCACTGACAGGATAACATAATGGTGTATGTCAGGCTTCAATCACTGACAGGATAACAGTAGATATTGTGTCTAGTGGTGTATGCCAGACTTCAGTCACTGACAGGATAATATAATGGTGTATGTCAGACTTCAGTCACTGACAGGATAACAGTAGTTAATGTGTCTGCCACTGGTATAATAACAACAGGGTTTATGTGTCTGTCTTAGATACAATACCAGTAAGTTTTGTTGTGTCTGTCACTGGTACAATAACAGTAGAGTTATTACATCTATCTTAGATGATCGTTTGGGATACAACTGTAACAACACTTTTTTTATTAAGTTAATATTATAAATTGATTATGTAGCTTGCCAAAATCTTCTGTACTTTTATTGTATTTTTGCAGGCATAATGCTCTATGTTAATAATTGTTTCTCTGTACAAAGTATTGAATAAAATAAAATAATTGAAAAACTATCCCTCACCTACAGGCAGCTTGCAAGGTTGTAAGCCAGGATTGGCTACAAAGAATATTCGTTTGTTTTATTTTCTCTTATTAAAACATGTGGTACTTGTTTTTCTCTTACTCCCAGCATACAGTTTCTCTGTTGTTATTTTTGAACATTCATAAATATGTTCGACTTATTAACTTATGCTGTCAAATCCATTTAATTAAGGCTTAAGTGTTCTCACATAAATTGATATAAAATAGTGTCGGTCCTGATAGACTTTGACCATTAAACATATATATATATTTTAGTACATAATGTTTACTAATCATCCATATAATACAAGATATATATATATCATGAAGAACAACTTTCACCATAATTAACATATATATTATTACATTGTTCTCAAATCTCTCTCTCACTCGTTAAAGTCTGGTTTGATACATTTAATTGGTAGCCATTTTCACTTGTCTTAAAATATTGATCATTTTGTACTGTTCTACATCTTGTGAATTCTGTTCTTATTTTCTAACTGTACAAGTGGCTGTAAAAACTCATATTTAAGATATTTATTTTCAAAGTGCTGTTAATGACATAAATATAGAAACGTATCACAAGTTTAATATAATATTTCAAACGTAATATTTTCTTTCATCAGTTTGAAATTATTATTAAATTTATTTGAATGTATCACCAGATAGAATGTTTTATTAGGTTTTAATGTGAATAATATCATAATTATTAGAAACAGATATCCTAGCTCATACATCCATTTATAACAACGATCGCCCCACTGTTCAGCGATAAGTTTGGCATATATGTAAAAAATTGGGTTACAATACTCATCGTGTAGGTGCGTGATAAGGGAAGGGGAAATATATATATATGAAGGTAGTGCCATCTCTAGGTAAAATATACAGTCAAACATTTTCTGAAAATCTAGAAATACATCGAGATTCGTAAAGTAATGCTTATAACTACACCTCGTCCGAAAGCTTAAGAATCATAAAGAGGAATTATGGTGAAAATTACTCCTTGCATTGAGTGTATTAACGTGATTTCATGTTGGCACGTAAACATGTTTTCACACAGTACAACTGTTAAGCCCGGTGGTATGTCTATTGAAAGCGGCACTGTAGTTTGTGATAGCTGTGTCTTTAGGAACGTAAAACTCGTAGAATATTGCTTTTTATATAACAAGTCTACGTTATCAGTACCACTAATTAGTGCCTTCAGGTCTGAAATTCACTTTCAAAATAATCACGATATATTCCATTTATACTAAATACTGACACTTTACCTTTGAATTTACCAGCAAAACTGGTAATTAATATTGTGTTAGCATTTTTACTGAATAGGTGGAAATTAATATTGTGTTAGCATTCTTATTGAATGGGTGGAAATTAATATTGTGTTAGCATTCTTACTGAATGGGTGGTAATTAATATTGTGTTACCATTCTTATTGAATGGGTGGTAATTAATATTGTGTTAGCATTTTTACTGAATGGGTGGAAATTAATATTGTGTTAGCATTCTTATTGAATGGGTGGAAATTAATATTGTGTTAGCATTCTTATTGAATGGGTGGAAATTAATATTGTGTTAGCATTTTTACTGAGTGGGTGGTAATTAATATTGTGTTAGCATTTTTACTGAATGGGTGGTAATTAATATTGTGTTAGCATTTTTACTGAATGGGTGGAAATTAATATTGTGTTAGCATTCTTATTGAATGGGTGGAAATTAATATTGTGTTAGCATTTTTACTGAATGGGTGTAAATTAATATTGTGTCAGCATTCTTATTGAATGGGTGGTAATTAATATTGTGTTAGCATTCTTATTGAATGGGTGGAATTTGATATTGTGTCAGCATTCTTATTGAATGGGTGGTAATTAATATTGTGTTACCATTCTTATTGAATGAGTTGTAATTGATATTGTGTTACTGTTCATTTTCAATTAGTGTTATTCAGTTTTTTATGTGAAAAACAATATTTTGTTAAAAATTCAAAAACTTATGACTTTCTACTTTTATTGGAAATATGGCTACATTTGATATTGCTTTTCCAATGTGAAGGAAATAACTTGGATCTGGTATTAATGTATTTGTGTAAAAGCTTTTAAGGCTACGCGTTGCCGTCCCTAATTTTGTATTACTTAATAGAAGCCATTAATAAAAAAAAAAACGGAAAATTAACTTCAACTTGTATATAAAATATACATCGCAGAAAAGAAACTAAGTATATAAATTACTTTTCTACAGGATAACAGTAGTTATTGTGTCTTGTGGTGTTCGACAGACTTCAGTCACTGACAGGATAACATAATGGTGTTTTTCAGACTTCAGTCACTGACAAGATACAACAGTAGTTATTATGTCTAGTGGTTTATGCCAGACTTCACTCACTAACAGGATAACAGTATTTATTATTTATAGTGATGCATGTCAGACTTTAGTCACTGACAGGATAACATAATGGTGTTTTTCAGAACTCAGTCACTGACAGGATAACATAATGGTGTATGCCAGACTTCAGTCACTGACAGGATAACATAATGGTGTATGCCAGACTTCAGTCACTGACAGGATAACAGTAGTTATTGTGTCTAGTGGTTTATGCCAGACTTCAGTCACTGACAGGATAACAGTAGTTATTGTGTCTAGTGGTGTATGTCAGACTTCAGTCACTGACAGGATAACAGTAGTTATTGTGTCTAGTGGTGTATGTCAGACTTCAGTCACTGACAGGATAATATAATGGTGTATGTCAGACTTCAGTCACTGACAGGATAATATTAGTTAATGTGTTTGCCACTGGTATAATAACAACAGGATTTATGTGTCTGTCTTAGATACAATAACAGTAAGTTTTGTTATGTCTGTCACTGGTACAATAAAAGCAGGGTT